AGAGAGAGAGAGAGAGAGAGAGAGAGAGAGAGAGAGAGAGAGAGAGAGAGAGAGAGAGAGTAATTATTATTGGAAGTTCCCGAAGGAGGCGGGTAACCATTAGGAACTCGTATTGAAAACTGCAAGTGAAAAGGTTACGGGCTGCATGTGGAATGGATCATACTTGCGAGCGGACGCCGTCCGGGCGGTTCCGCACGTGCGGCAGACCGCCGAACCGGACCCACGCGGCGCACGAATGTGCGCCCGACGACCAGTTACGCCCCACCAAAAAAAAAGAAAAAAAAAAAAATGGCCCTCTCCGGTCCGGTCTGGGTCCGTCTGGTTCGGGGGGACGGTGCCGCACGCGGCAAAGCGGACCGGACCGGACGCTCGTCCGATCCGTCTGCTTGCAAGTATGGACCGGATACATCCTCCCCACCTAACTGAATTCGCTGAACTATCGACAAAGCCAAATGGTGACAAAAACACACTTACGTAAAGGAATTTTGAACTACGCACAACATAAGTTCAACCTCACGGGCCGTCGTTGAACTATGGACAAAAATATAGAATCCTCAATTACTCACAACACATATGCGATCCTATAGAACAAATGATGGACGCCAGCTTGCATCGAATAGCGGGTATGTGAATGTTTGAGAAACGAAAAGGCGGGCGTAGTCCCCTAGACGAAAAGGAAGCAAACATTAACATGAAAACCCCACAACTGGATCCATCAACCTGCCATGGCACTCCTTTGACGAGAACTTCGAATCTCATGTTATCATACCTTTGGGGCAATCCTTTTATCATTGCCTCTTCATTTAGGCACTGCATAACCGCTCTATATGCAGTCAAAGCAAACGAAGCGTCGCACACTGCACTACAATAAGAATCAACGTACTGTACAACTCCCTTTTTAAAATCTACCGACATCTCCCTGACAACACCCCTCCGACTAGGTGGGAGGAGGTGATGCGCCAACAACTATTTGGAAACAGGAGGATCACCGATCGATATAGCAAGGTGTTTTGCGGTTCAGTCACCCCGTCGGGTAGCTGGGTTAAAAAAGGCGTCATTAGAATAAAAGACATTTGGAACTCCGAGACAAAGGATTGGAAGACGGTGCAGCAACTGAAGGACACACTAAAACATTGTCACAATATTGAGGAGAACTTTGAGATGTTGATATTCGAAATTCCTCTAGACTGGGTGCGCATCTTGCGCAAAGGACCACGACTGGAAGAAGGGGACTGGGTAGCGGTGCCAGGCGACTCAGAAAGTGTGGGAAATGTGGTGGACATGCGGCTGGATGAAACCTTGATTAACCTTTTTCATATAGGCAAGGATAATGTCCTTACCCGGTACTCCCTAGATGTGATGAGATGGGGAAAAAACAAGGAACTACAAAGGATCCGGGTATTACGGGACAAGGATGTATGGACTGCATATCAGCCAAATACCCCATTGGTAGAACTCCCCTTAGATCCTGAGGAATGACAGTGGTCACTCCCACGGAAAAGCAGTTCTCGGAGGAGGACAAAGCTGCAGAACCTAACAATGAAGGCAACGTACCGCCTATTGCGCCCCAAAGTAAACATTAAGGAAAAGGTAAAGGAAAGATGGAGATCCCAATTAAATGTAGGAATCGAGGTGATCCGGCCTATCCGTTGGTTCAATGCTCCCAGAGCCAGGCCAGCAAAGATGGCCTCACTGTAGTGGCAGATAGAGCATCGTTGCTTACCCACCAACGATTGGTTGATAGATCGTACTCATCTAGAACAGAGAGGACAGGCCTTACCTTGGTGCAAAGCGTGCCACAATGTCTTCCCCTTCCGCAGAATCCCGAAAACTATAGAACACATATTCATGCAATGTCCGGGTGCAGTCCTCACATGGCGATGGTGGGACAGAATCTGGTCCCGTTTTGGCACTGGGTCAAAATGGCCTTGGGACTGGAGAGCCATATTATGCGAGACATGGTCCTCCCCTACAGACGGTACTTTTGAAAATAATATGTTTAAACCACTAGTACCTCCGAGTTTGTTTTTGCCGACCCTGAATTTCAGTGCGCTCCGAGTTTGTCGAGCCTGTGTACCACTCCGTTTTCTTTCTGGTACTCTCACGGAAAGAAAAAAAAAAAAAAA